TGGAGCCCACAGAGCCCACAACCCCAGGGAGATCCGTGGACCCCACAGAGCCCCAACCCTGGGGTGCCCCATGGAGCCCACAGAGCCCCCATGGAGCCCACAGAGCCCACAACCCCAGGGAGATCCGTGGACCCCACAGAGCCCCAACCCTGGGGTGCCTAAAGCACCCCACAGAGCCCCCATGGCGCCCCCCCCGCCCACCACACCAGGGAGATCCGTGGACCCCACAGAGCCCCAACCCTGGGGTGCCTAAAGCACTCCACAGAGCCCCCAGGCCAGGAGCCCCATGGACCCCACAGAGCCCCCAACCCCAGGTAGCACCGTGGACCTCACAGAGCCCCAAACCCGAGGGTGCCCAATGGACCCCACAAAGCCCCCGCTCCATGGACCCCTGGTTCCACAGAGCCCTGGCCCTGGCTGGAAGCTCTGGAGAAGGCAGGGGTTTGGGGCAGTGGGGGCAGTTGGCACCCCAGGGTACTCCTGGTGTTACAGGGGGAGCTCAGCCCAGTGTGGCAGCTCAGGCTCGCACAGCCCGTCCAGCTCCTCTCCCACCCAGGTGCAGCCTGGAGCCCCCTGGGGTGTCCCCCTCCGCTGGCTCCCCCCAACCCCACTGACTCTCCCCTCCGCACCCCCCCCAGTCCAGGGACCGTAAAGTCCTCGGTGACTACAGCGGGGCGCTCAGCTATGGCTCCACTGCCAAGTACCTGAACATCACCGCCCTGCTGCTCAACATCTTCCTCGTCATTCTCCTCATCGCCCTGATCGCTAGCAGCACCATCAGCGTGGTGAACCTCTTCAACCAAGAGCGGGAGCATCATCCCTTCCTCAACCCCACTTAGGCCTTCCCTTGCTCCGCGGGCAGAGCATCCCCCCTACGTCTGCTAGGAGCCCGCGTCACCCCTTGGAGCAGGGGGGGATGTCCTCCATGCGGCCCCCTGCAGCCCGCTGGGGTCCTGTCCTGCTTTCCTTGCGGCTCAAAGCCCCTGCGGAGCCCTCTCTGATGGCCACCCTCGTTGGCCTCCTGGGAAGTGCCTGGAGACACCTCTCCTCTGGCAGGAGCCGAGCACCCAAAAACTGGCTGTAGCAAAGGGAAAGAGTGTGCTTTTCTGCTTGCCGCTTTGCTCTGATTTTATAGCCCCAAGTGCCTCTAAGAATAATCCTAAGGAGAAGCGCCTCACTGGGAGAAAACCTGGGTCAAATAAAGGTTTCTTTCACTTTTGCCCCTGGCTCGGTTTCATTTTGGCGGGGGGTGGTTGGGGGTCCCCCCACCCCAGCTTGGCCGGCTGAGAAACGGCGTCCGCCCTTGGGACCTGCCTGGAGAGGGAAATTGTCCCTTGGCACGGAGCACCACAGAGATGATGCTCAAGGATGCACCAGGCTCGGTGAACCCGGGTACTCGTGGGGAAGAGGCATCCATACGGGATGCAAAGCGCTTGTAAGGCTCACCCCAAGGATGCGGGTAGCACCTCATCTTTGCCAGGGTGTCACCAGGAGCACCCCCATCCTCACTGACCCTCAGGAGGGGGGTAGGAGCAAGCGGAGCTGAGAGCAAGCTTGATATTTGGGTGGGGGGCTGTGCAAAGGGCTTGAGCAAGATGAGCTCGAACATGACTGTGCAGCCGTGCGCAGGGCAGCAGGGGCCGGGAAAGGCTTCCAGAGGGAAAGGGAAGCTGTGGGTGGTGTGGCTCCATCCCAAATCGCCTTGCTGCAGGAGAGAGCCGTACAACTCAGCCCCTGAGAGATGGGGCGGCGCTGGGACTGCCGGGTGATGGGGGTGCCAGCCAGGCAGGGCTGCTTTTGGGGCGAAGTGAGACAGCACCCCCCCTCTCCTCCCCTCCAAAGCTTTTTCAGCATCAAGCCTTCACGCCAGCCATCCCCGCCGCCTCAATGTAAGGGCTGGCTGGGAAGCGGGCAGTAATCCTCGCGCCTCCGGGGCTGCCCGCACATGGCACTCGGCTGCCCGGCTTCGGTGGTGTCCGAAGTGACCCGGGCAAGACCCAAAATCCTGGCTGGAGCCTATCTGGCAGAGCTTCGGGTATGCAGTTGGCCTGGCTTCCCCTTTCCCCAGCTCGCTGTAAGCCTTTGCGCTCCTCGCCCTTGGCAGGCTCAGGTCTGCAGGGCTGGGGCCCCGCGAGGATTGGAAAAAAAAAGGCCTTTTGCCTTTTTTTTTTTTTTTTCCTCTCCCCAAGAACATTAGGCTCCTGCCAAGAAGCTGCACTCATAAATAAGATGTCAGAAATCCCGCCCGCAAAACACAACAGTTATTTGTCGCAGGATCCCTGGCACCAACCTCCTGGTGAATCATTTATTCCTCTGCTTCTTCCCATAAGAGCAAACAAGCATGTGCTCCCAGTTGCAACCAGGGCTGCACGCTGCCCGCCCGGCAAACAAGCATGTGCTCCCAGTTGCAACCAGGGCTGCTCGCTGCCCGCCCGGCTCGCAGGCCACCGACATGCCCGCCAGCAGGATACCAGATCAAACGTCCCCATCCAGCTGTGGGGGTCAAGAAGTTTTATAAAAGGGCAGCAAACCCCTGCTCGAAAACATCGCCCTGACCTTTCAGGCGCTTGGCTGCTTCCTTACAGCGCTGGCAACAGCCGCGTCCCATTATACAAGGGGTTGGCGGCGCGCCAGCGGGATGTGCTGGATCGCGCCCACCCCTGCGCTCTCCTTCCTCTTCCTGCTTTCTCCCCGACACCCCGGGGAAGGAGCAGGATCCAGCCTTGTTCTGCCCAAATCCCTCGCAGCACGTCGCTGCCCCCGGGGGTTTTGATGCCCATCTGGGGTGGCACAGGGTGTGGGCTTACCGTGCACCCCCAGGAGCTCTTCCCCCCCTCCTCAATCAGCCAACACACGCAAAAAATCCTGGGACACATCTTCCTAGGGACGCTCTGCAGCCAAAAACCCACCAGGGCGGTCCCAGTCCGATATCCCTGTTGGGAGCAGGATAGAGTCGGAGAAGGAGAAGCAGCCCCTCACCCTCCGCACCACCCCAAAACCCTCCCGCGCCTCCCCAAAGGGCAACTGGGCTTTTTCAGCAGCAGGGAGGAGCAGGGCAACAGTGCTCCAAGGACTCGAACAGCCTGTTCGTGCTCTTAAGGCAATTGCTTCAGGCTGTTGGCAAGTGGCCACCAAGCCCTTGCGTTCCCGGACACACTGCCAGAAGCAAGCGCCGAGCGAGCGGCAGGACCCGTGCCGGCCCTCGACGAACCATGTAACTCAGCAAGCCGCTCTCAAACCAGCTGAACAAACCTCCCGCAAACCTAACGGTGCCGCATTCGCCTTGCAGACCCTTCCCTCACGGCCCCACTCACAAGCATCCCCGGGGACTAAAAGACCTCCCCAAGGGCTGGGGGAGCAGGTGGGAGCGGGGCCAGGCAGAGGCGCTGGGACGGCAGCAGCAATGTTGGTTGAACTTTGTCTCCCTGCTTTCTAGCATCTTGTTTGTTCAGTTGCAAGGGCAAATAAATGAAAAAGCTGGAAACACAGGCAGGGAGGTGGGAATTTCGGTGGGCAGTTGGCGCCGAGCTCGGGTCGGTGAGACACCAGCTGTAATCCTGCTTGTGCCGAGAGTTTGTGGGAGATGGGATCCCTAAACGGACGTTCAGAAACAGTGGACAAGGAACAAAGCGGCTGCACTCGGTCCTCGTGGCTGCCGGTTGCCCCTGGCCGGCATCCTGACACTGCGGGTCCTTTCACCTCCACACGAGCTGGAGAAGCAGGTGGTGCCCCATGGAGGGACCCCAGCACCCCAAAGTGGGGAATCCCCCCCACTGGGCTCTTGCAAGCAGCTTTTTCGGCAGCACCGTACATCAGGCGTTGGGGCTGCAGAGGAAACACTCCCCTGAAATCCCCACTGAGCCCGAGCCCTCCTCCATCCATCCCCTTGCCCATCCCCGCCGGCCTCCCCACTTCCCGCAGTGATTCCTTAATTATCACCACGACCTAATGAACCTCATTAACCTCAATGAGCGTTCCCATGCCGCCAGGGAAGTAGCTGAGGAAAAGAAAAATCTTTAATTTCCTGTGGGTTCGGGACAAGTGATGTCAGGGGCTGGGACTTTCAGATCTGCACCCAAATTACCGGAATGGCCAGAAAACCTACGTGGCAGCAAGCACAGGTGACGAATACTTTGTGCCTCCTGGCACAACCCTCCACTCTTCCTGAGTGGGGAAAAACCCATTTGTCAAGAAAATACCAAGGCTGGGTTTCCCTTCATCAGCCTGTCACTTGGCCTCCAGGAGCCAGCCACCGAGCAGGAAGGATGCTGATGTTCCTAAACCCACATAGTTTGTAGCTCTGTGCCTTGGTGTTTTTTTGATTCAGATGTTTTTTACCTCCCTGCTGCTTTCTTGAAGCTTTCTTCTTTCTTTTTCCACCCCTCAACCTTTTTTTGGCAGCCACAAGACCTCATCACGGCTACGAGACCTTGTCATGGATGCCGAAACCAAAGGGAGGAAAAAATCCTTGAAACCCAACATGCAAATCCAGCCGTTGGGTGACCCCCACCGCTGCTGCCGGCTTTAGCCTCCATGAATGGGGATCGAGCCCTTGGCAGTGGTTTGCAGCTGGGAAGGGGGTTTCGGGGACTGGTGGCTCCCCCCCCCCCCGGTGGCGTGTCCCCGCTGTGACTGAGCAGCCCCAGCGGTGCGGCTCTGCCCTGCCCTGCCCAGGGCAGAAGTCGCTTGTCAGCCCAAGAGGGCAAAAAGCAAAGAGGAACAGATAAGGCGCCCACCCCGTGACATCGCCCGACCCATGGGCATCCCCCTCCACCTGCCCCCCAGACCATGCCCGGGGCTGCGGCTCTCCCCCCCTCCTGGC